AGCAGATCCCAATCTTATCTAAAGGAATATTGACAACTGATTACTGCTGGATGAGGAACAGCTGATCCTCCTAAAAAAAGACCTCTAGATAGCTGACTAGATGCAGCAGAAGGGCAAGTGGTGGGGAATGGTTGGGGGTGCCGATGGCACAGCAGACAGTAGCAGGGATATCAGAGTATAAGGGCTCTAGAGTGGGGAGGGAGGCTATGGGAGGGTGCTACCTGGGAAGTGGGTATATAAATAAATAAAAAAGAAAAAAAATTCTTCAAAGCATAAAAATTTGCTCTTTAATAATTAGTAGATGTGAAAAACATTACCATTGAAATCTACCTGATGACTTTATATCCATGCTTAGATGCCAAGGGTCTCAGAAAGTATCCGACTATGACTAGTAATAATCAGATAAATGAGATTAGAAACACATATGCATCGTAGTGTCAATTGTATTAAAAGTGAATTTTTCTGTATGAAACTGTATTTTGATAATGAAATGGAGATCTTTTTTAAAGTTTAAAACCTCATTTAATTTTATGTCTTATAGGGTTTATACTAAGTGGAGTACAATATTGTATAACTGTATCAATTCAACTGTAAACCTAAAAATTACAGCCAATTTTGAAAGAGGTGCATCTTAGCTCTTGAAATGGTTATTGAATATGTCAATGCTGTTGTAATGAAATGCTTCTTCTAATTCTATGGTTATTAAATAATTTAAGAAAGTTAGAAAAAGAAGGATGATACATTGTTTTGAAGCCGTAATGGACACAAGTTTAACGACCAGGACGTTTAGGGTTGCTCTCGACCACATTGAACAGACGGTTGCTGGGCAGAGTCCCTGGAGAAGTGTGCTTTGTGCCAGGTTGTAATGGTCTTTGTGTAAAACTGTGGTTTTGGGGAAGGCATTCTGTGCATGACAACCCTCCCTCTGACTCCATTTTGTATGGATCAGGGACTCCATTTTGCATGTGACACCTTTCACGCAGAGTCAATTTTAGATGGACAGAAAACTGGGAAGTGGCACTTTTGTACAAAAGCGAATGTTTCCATGGAAATAATGATTGTTCGGATGACAGAACTGAAAGGTGTGTTCAAATCATAAATATGAAGTAGTACCAGAACAGTTTGGAAGACTTTCCAACAACTGTGAAATTGTGTTTATAATATGTTTGCAAAATCATTTATAGAGAGAAGATGGTAATGAACTTGGAAATCACACCCAGCCAGAAACGAGCAGAGCTGATTTCAACACCGAAGTTGGAGACTGAAGGCAAATTCAAAAAGCAAGCGGCTGAGGTGGGTATTGAGTGAATTTTAGAGAGTGTTTGAATCCCTTGTGACTCCTCTCCACACATCGTGTTGTATTTTATTTAGTTCATGTCTAATAAATACCTATACTGATTTGGGTATACTGAAAGTTTGTTTTCCTGGGATATATTTAGCACATACTTACATTCTAAATGTTTAAAATATGGAATTTGACACATTTTGATATTGTTATAACTTAGAGAAAAACAGCAGGTTCCTGGAAAGGAGTGACAAAACGTTACCCTTCAGACCTTTATTAAGAGAGAGCCTCATGAGTACAGAGGGTGGGGGAATGACGGGGCTTTGAAACATTATTCCATGGACATCATGATAGGGCCTTGAAGGGAGGGAGGAAAAGAGGGAGGGAGAAAAGAGAGAGCTAGCTGAGGGTCTATGTATACAGATCCATGTGCACATGTCAAACTACGGCCACAGTTGAGATGACATGGCCATCCAACACATCTTTGTTTTTGTTTTGTTTTGTTTTGTTTTGTTTTTGAGACAGGTCTCCCCTGTAGCCCTAACTTGCCTGAAACTCTCTATGTAGACCAGGCTATCTTCTTCTTCACAGAGATTCCCATGCCTGTGACTCCTGAGTGCTGGGATTAAAGTTGTGTGTCTGGCTTCATCAAACACATTTAAAAAAAAAAATGCCTGTTTGTAATCTCTTCCCTGTTCCTTCCATGCCTCCAGATCCAGGCAATGGCCAGTGTGCTTTCTGTTGGCTACGAGGGTCTAGAGATTTAGCAAGTAAAACCATATTGTACATGCTGTTTTTAAAAATTTAAATTACATTTATTTATTTTGCGTGTGTGTGTGTGTGTGTGTGTGTGTGTGTGTGTGTGTGTGACATAGCTATACCATGGTGCATGTGTAGTGGACAGACGACAACTTGCAGAAGTTGGTTCTCTCCTACCATGTGGGTCCCAAAGATAAACTCCTGTTGTGAAGCTTAGCAGCAAACACTTTTATCCACTGAGACATCTTGCTGGCCCTCTGGCAGTGGTTTTACTGAGATTTTGTAGGTGCTCAGGGCATACTGGAGAACTCACTATAAGTTACTATTGGGTTTGCCATGACTTTGTGATTGCATTCATTTAAATGATTTTTTAAAAATTTACTTATGTATTTATTTATTTTATGCATATGAATGTTATGCCTCCACATGTGTACGTGCACCCATGTTGTGCAGTGCTGAGAAGGACAGAAGACAGTGTTGGATCCCCCGCAACTGGAGTTACAGACGGTTGTTAGCCGCCACATGGGTGCTGGGATTTGAACCTGGGTCTTCTGCAAGAACAGCCAGTGCTGTTAACCTGAGTCATCTCTCTAGTCCCAAGTTAATTTTATGTGTATGTGTGTGCCTGTATGAGTTATGTGCACCCTGTGTGCAAGTGCCCTAAAAATCCACAGGAGAACATCAGATTTCCCCAGAGGTGGACTCGCAGGTGGTTGTGAGTTGCCTTATGTGGGTGCTGGGAACCAAACCCAGGCCCTCTGCAAGAGCAGTAAGTAATTTTAACCACTGATCCATCTCTCCAGCCCCTTAAATGATCTATTTGAAAAAGAATAATTCTAACGGCCATAGGTTTGACTTTCTCATCATATAACAGAAAAGTGTCAATTGATTCTGTAGATCAATTATTTAGGATTTTAGAGCTATCACTATGCCTATGAATTAGCCAGCTCCACAATCAAAGACAACTCCAGTTTCTCTTTGAAGGATGTTTCTATGGGACGCCGCCAGATTTCTGGCATTGTTAAAAATTTGTTCAAATGATACTTCCAAGGACTGATTTATATTACAGAGAACAGAACAAGTTGATTTCATTGATGCATATTCATAAGACCGTCATATTGCACAAGACCAGTGTTCTTGCAAATGTTCTAGTTCAGCATCTTAACAAGTAGACTTGTTTTTCACCAAGTTTTATGATGCAGAAAGTTGCTGCTGCCTTTGAAACGGCAGGGCAGACATTGCTTTGAGCATTTAAGAAGATTCCTTTAAATCAACCATAAAGACTTACGTTTTGAAGGGTGAGCTCCAGAACTTCATTTGGTAACAAGGGAAAAGCAGGGCCACTTAACTCAGCATTACTGGCAAAACTAGAAAGTGAGGGTGCTGCTTAGTGTGACAGGGAGTCCACGGCACCGTTTCTCTTCCGTGTTTCACCTGGCAGAGATCTGAGAGGACATCCTTGCTCTTGCCCACAGAGTCTTCTTAGACTCCTGAGGAGACCAGGAAGAAGATAGGAACTTACATGACACCAGGATAAGCATCATCATCACCAGCTCGGAGGCCTTGCATGACATTGATACATAGCTTCATGCACGTTTCTGTAGTTAGGGAGTTATGATGAGGACTGAAGCCACGTGACTGAATGAATCTCTGCAGGTGTTTTCAGTGGGATGCTCATTTCATCATCTAGTGTCACCTGTTTTCCCAGGCCCTTGTGAAGCTCTGTTCCCTGAGTCCCCATCGTTCCCCAGGCCGTCCATCATTCAAATCCAATTTCTGCTGCTGTTACCAAGCAGACTTACCTACTGCTTTATACAACTGGTGAATTAATGGCAAGAAGGGAGATGAAATAAATGTGTCTTGGGGTCTTAGCACGTGAGGAACACCAGCTCTTTATTTTTTCTTTTATTGTTTTTAAGTGTATGAGTGTATTGTCTACATGTAGTACCACGTGCACGCAGTGCCCATGGAGGTCAGAAGATGGTGTTGGGTCCCCTGGAACTGGAACTATAGAGGTTGTTAGTCACCATGTGGGTGTTGGAAATCGAACCTGGGTCCTCTGAAAGAGCAGCCAGTGCTCTTAACCGCTGAGCCATCTCTCCAGCCTCAGTACTTACTTCTTTATGCACTTGATGAGTGTGGCTTCCTCCTAAAATCCTGGATGGCAAGATGGGGATGTTCTTTCTTGCTTGTTCTATTCAAAATTATGCTACCAATTCAGAAACTAAAGGTTATCTGGGCTATAAAGGAAGAAGTAAAATTGCCAGACAGGTTGGCTAGTACTAGAAAATCCATCTTTGAGAATTTAATGCATGCATACAATGTATTTTGATCATGCCCACATTTCATCCCCTCAACCAGCCAGACCCCCCCCACCCTACCACTTTATCCCCCTTACAACTTCATGTCCTCTGTTTTTCTTTTTTAACCCACTGATTCCAGTTAGTACTGCCCTTATGTGTGTGTATCCATCCAAACATGGGCAACCTTCCAGGGGTCACATTCCTGACTGATGACTATCAGGGAACAGAGAACCAGGTCTTTTCTTGAGATGAGATTTTGAGATTGCTGGACACAAACACAGTCCCACCATGACCCCAACCCCATTCTCTTTTCTTTTCCCTTTTATTTCCTGTACCCTTATATCATCTCTGTGTTCATCCACCTGCTGATTCCGTACAGGTCACCCTAGGTTCCTTTCTATCTGTTTATCTCCAGTGAACCCAAATCTTCTGCTTCCTTAGAGCCTTTGCCCAGGCTGGATTGTTAGGACTAACCCCCCCGCCCCGATGCTTAGGTAAATCCATTATCTCCTCCTAAATTCACATGGTGGAGTTCTGATACGCAGTGTGGCTGTGTTTGGAGTAGGGACCCTAATTAAAGGTAAATGAAGTCATTAGGGTGAGGCCCTGAGCCACCATTATCAGTGTCTTTGTGAGAAGGAGTCTCAGGGAGCTCTCTTTCTGTTCTCTGTGATTGCACACAACGAAAATGTCACACAAGCACACAATGGAGTGGTACCACCTGTAAGCTGGAAGAAGAGGCCTCAGCATGGTACCTACCTTGATGTACCTTGACCGTGGACTTCACAGCCTGGAGAACTGTGAGGAAGTTAGTCTCTGTTGTTTAAGTCACCCAGTCAGTTTGGCCATGTCAGCCTGAGCAGACAAATACAGATACAGGTCCACACTTCTCTTGGGGTCGGACCCTCTGTCACCTCTCCATCTCAAAACGACCCCTCCTTAATGTGCTTTTGCTCTCGCCGCCCCCGTCTTCCTTTCCTGGACTCTTGCTGGTGATCAACCCTCTTGCTCTGCTGTCTTGATGTCTTTCTCTTGGCCATCTCTCACTACCTGCTTTAATGGTGCTGTTGTCTTTCCTTCTGGGAAACACTGTCTCTAGGCCTCTTGTCTTTCACGACCTATGCCTTGAGAGTTGTCTGCCCACCCCATGTTGGGCTTCTCACCTTCCATCTCTTGTGGAGCCTGTGATAGAAAGGCCTTCACTTCTACTACAGTCTGGTCCCTTTCTCCTTCTGTGGCCTCGTCCAGCACTCTCTTCCCCTCCTCCCTCAGCCACACGAAATGCTCCCATTCAACAGTCTGTGCTGCCTGCCTGGTGGAAGGACCAGCTCATAATATCCTTTTTCTTGCTTTGAGACCTCGGTCTAAATCTTACTTCTTTGTAAAAGTCTCTCCAGACCATGAGCCCCAGAATAGCTTGATGGCCTCTCTCTATTACATCACTCAGTGTCAGTGGGATTGTAGCACTTTAAAAATTGCATTTATTTAATTTGTGTGTGTGTGTGTGTGTGTGTGTGTGTGTAGGTCAGAGGACAACTTACTGGAGTCACTTCTTTCCTTCTACCATGTGGGTCCCAGAGACAGAACTCAGGTTGTCAGAATTGGTGGCAAGTACCCTTACCCACTGAGCCATCTTACCTACCCTGATTACAGTACTAAAACTTTTTTTAATTGAATTTTTGAGAGTTTCATACAATATATTTTGATCGATTTAGACCCCCCATCCCCATCTGCACCCCTCTTATACACCCTCATAGTTTTCATGTACTCTGTCATTTATATTGAGGTCTATGTGTCCTCAAATGTCCTCTGGTGTGCATCTATCCACTGGAACCTGGTTATAATGATTATACAGTTTTATTTATTTTATTTTTATTTTATGTGTATGAGTGTATTGCCTGCATGTGTATAAGTGCACTCCCGTTGTGCAATGCCCATGGAGGTCA